AAAAATAACAACACTTTGTCAGGACCATGAGGCGATCATTCCTACCAACTTTCAGTTCAATCGGTCCAGCAGAACTTGACTTTAAGTTTGAAATAGGTTTTCAAAATGGCGGCCGTGGCGGCCATATTGGATTTCTGATCGACCCGAAAAATAACAACACTTTGTCAGGACCATGAGGCGATCATTCCTACCAACTTTCAGTTCAATCGGTCCAGCAGAACTTGACTTTAAGTTTGAAATAGGTTTTCAAAATGGCGGCCGTGGCGGCCATATTGGATTTCTGATCGACCCGAAAAATAACAACACTTTGTCAGGACCATGAGGCGATCATTCCTACCAACTTTCAGTTCAATCGGCCCAGCAGAACTTGACTTTAAGTTTGAAATGTAAAATGTTAACGGACGACGGACGACGACGGACGAAAACGGATAGCAATAGGTCACTTGAGCTAAAGCTCAGGTGACCTAATAACAAAGTACGACAGATAACTCTAGATTTCAAGTTTCTGGGGGAAACACCGCATCAGTACAATGAACGCTTGTATTTTATGCAATCACCTCTTATATTTATTGTTCTATTACTCCTACGTAACGAAACCGTAAGGTTGATTAACAGAATTTTCTCCTACCTTGAGGGTGTGACAGAGACATCTCCAAGTCGAAAGATGATATTCTTGATGGACGAACCCCCGACTTTGCCGAGGGTAAGACATTCAACATTTATTTGTCACACCCTAAAGGTAGGAGATGACTGTTTTTCTCCCATACTGTGTCTCTCTCAAATCCGCCGACAAGCGGTGATTGCATGGAATATAAGCGTTGATAGTACGTTGTCCCCAGCAAATCCAGAGTTGTGTTCCATGGTCTGCTACAGTTGACTTGACGTCAATGCATTCATGACGTGACGTCATAATATTGCTATTACTTAGAACGCGCCGTTCTGCACGAGGATATCTCCGCCTAGCGGGTGACAAGCTGCTCTTTTCCGGCTAAAAGGGAGACACGCCTGTGTAGGGAGGGGGAGAGTGTCATCCAAGATTTCAGCAGAATATTTTATGTCGTCGCCCAAGGACAGCCGATTTGTAGATACCTTACTTCAATGTAAAGCGAAAAGTGTATGTCGTCGCCCAAAGAAAGCCGTAATGTTGATACATTACTTCATTGCAAGTCGAATACTTCATGGCGTCGTTCAAGGTAGATACCTTACTTACTTCAATGTAAGGCGAATACTTCATGACGTTGTCCAAGGTTGACACCTTACTTCAATGTAAGGCGAAAATCTTAATACATTTTTTAAGGTAGATACCTTACTTCAATATAAGGCGAAGACGTAAGTGCAGTAACGTACCAAATGTAAACCTTATACTCGAGGACTTGGTTGAAAACAAAACACGCGTTCAAGTAGACACCACACTCTTTGATAGACCGTTAGGGAGAAAAGATCGTTTAAAATAAACCGAAAAGTACTCTCAAGTACTTGAGGCGACACATCAAAAATATAGTGAAATTGCGTGCTATTTAAATATTTACGATTTTTTTTAAATATAACCGAGGTTTCCAATATCTATAAATACATATATCTACATCTCCCCCCTTCTAATGTGTATACATTAGCGTGTACGCAATGAAAAAAGGCTTGGCGGATTGATACCTGTTTTAAATATGGCGCCATTTACGCTACCATTGTTTGGCTCCTATCCGGGATCCATGATGTCTGATTATACAACAAAGGGATGCTGGCAAACTCCTTATTCCATGGATGCACGTTCAAAATTCTTTGACGGTAAAGCTAAAAATGGCGGCTCCTTTAGCGACGTTCGTCCGC